ATTTTGTAATATTTTTAAGGAGGATTTTCTTCTTCTTTCTTTTTATTTTTTTTTATATTTTTTTTAAGAAGAAACTAGGGGAGGACAAAAGCCATCCCAGTCGTATTTCCTATCCCTCACGTCTGGTCAGAAGGAACAGCCAAAAAAAAACCTAACTTTGCCATGATTTAAGCAATATATTATTATTGCCTTATCGTATACTGTAAAGTGTGCACTAGAAACGCCATGACCTGTTTAGAGATGACCTAATGCCCTCCAAATGTTTTCGCTACTGTTCATGCTAGCCAAGCCCTTAATTAAAGCTAGCTTTCATCAACTTCAAAGAGATTCCACTTCAAGAATTACTTTCATGCATTAACCCCAAGTTTGAACAAAATTTTAATCGAGGTAAGATACTAACTAAAAGCATAATTGTTAAATTTGGTTAGGGTACTAATTTAAAAAAGGTTTGGAGTTATTGAATTACTAAGTGAATCAAGGTCAATTATTTTTATTAAAACAATGTTGTTTTTTAATTTATTTAAGAATTGATCTAATTGGGTTTGAATTAGTCAACCAAATCATTACAAATCTTATTTGATCATTCCAGTTTTATTAGGTCGGTGTTTTTATCTGTTCAACTTAAAACCTAATGTGAATCAAGTCATAAGTTGCAAGTTTTTTAAAATGGAGTTTATCAATTATAATTAAAATAATAAAATCATAATTTATGTCTACATTATTTTTAGATCAATTTATAAACACCAACAAAGTAAGTCCAACAGGAGAGAAAAGGTACAAGAGGCAAACTTCTATAATAAAAGCAGGAAAAAAAACCTATAATGAACGCCTAAGATAAGACCCTTAGCAAAAGTATATAGACACAATTAAAAGATTGATATCTTTTCTCAAGTGTAAGAGTGTCGAAGTAATAAATGACTCGACAAGACAGGGGTCGAACCACAAGGAGGTTAATTGTATAAATTAACAACAACAACAACAATAACAACAATAGAAAAAGAAGAAGAAGAAGAAGAAGAAGAAGAAGAAGAAGAAGAAGTTGATGACAACTTCAAG